ATAGCAGCAAAATAATTACAAATACACTCTTAAGCAATAAGAAATGATATGGAATGCTTTCCCAACATTCATGTATTCATGAAAAGTGTAAAACAAGCACATGTATTGTAAAACTCCCCCTAAGATAATGCATTTAGTGGTACAAAAATTTTCAAAAAAACGCAAAATATTATACCACTTTGTTAGAAAAATGTGTTAAAATTTCAAAAAAAAAATCAAAACATGATGCTACTTAGTCAAAAACTCCACTCATGAAAAAATTCATCAGTTTTCAAACCTCATCATATTTCACCAAATTCTCCCCCTTTTATTATTACCAAAAGTAAAAAAAATACACTAATGCAAATACTCAATACAAGAAAAAAAATCATCCAAAAGGGAAATGGAAGAGAAAGAAACGCACTAGTTCACACAATATTTTGATAGAAAAATAGCACAATAGATCAAAATTAATCACTAGACACATAAATACAAGAGAAAACACGTCAAAATGTACAAATGAAAAGTTTAAATATCAATGTAAAGTGTATGAAACTAATAGTGAAGAAACATATATTAGATCCCAAGACAAATTCAGGTATATCAAAATGATCAAAGAGCAAAAATAATACTTGAGCTATCTCAACCTTATCAACTAAGGACCAAAGTATCACTCTATCACCTAAGCCGTATAGGACTTAGGAGGAAGAACAATATAATTTTCAAGGTGATTCACACCATCTTGAAATATAAATTATATTCAGTACATGATAACTACATGCTGCAATATGAGTGTGGGTAATTGACATCTTTTAATAAATACACTCAATTTTATGTGGATTTCATAAGAGTTGGACCTTTGATCATCCTTTAATAAATACACTCGTATTATATTTTTATAATTTTGACATAAATCTACTTTCATACATATATAGATAAGTTCATGCATTAGTCAAGTTAGAAATGCTCAAAATCATATGATATAACTTGAAATATCTATGAAAAAATATAAGACTCGGCCACCACAATTCCACAACATAAAAAACAATAAATATGAAATATAGGTGTGAACAATGATACGTGAAATGTCTTCTGCAAACAACGTGTCATGTAACCATTATTTTATCATTGTGTGTAAAAATACATACATATAGATTAAAAAAGCATGCGAACCTATGTATCAACTCAAGCATCTATACCAGTGAACAAAAATTATTTGAATCAATTTGGTAAAAGCATATGCATAGGCATATCCAAATGTCCTTTTTTAAAATAAAAAAAGAAAAAAAAATTTTTATTTTATTTACATTTTTTAAACAAATGAATGAAAAATAAAATTCAAAATTCAAAAAGAAATTAAAAGGAAAACCAAAGAACAAGAAAATAAAAAACAAACAATGTACATACAAAATAAAGGGTTATAGAATACATACTTACTTATTCCTTTGAGAAGTTTTACTGAAATAATCGTTTATGCAAGTTATACCTTGGTAGTAAATCCTCGCTTGCATAAGGAGGCCCTCTTTCAACGTAATATCAACTTCTCATCCCATTTTTCATCTTGGTTAGGATAAGGAATAGATTCTTATCTTTTGAATATGTTTTGAGCAACCAAAGCAGATGTTACCTTGCTTCTTAGCATTTTCGCATACCTACAAAAAAAATAGAAAGGTACGACTAAGGTATCCACATAGGTTCACATTGGTTATTAATTATGCCTTTAGGTACCCAAATTTGCTTAAATAATTTAACTCTATATAGCATTTGACAAGTCATTGAAATATGTCTCATTCTACTATATAAAGCATAAATAGTAGACGATATGTTAGAAATGAATTAGAAATGGATGCAAAAAGAGTTATGTTTCCTTTGACACACAAAACTTAAAAATTTTTATGTTTTTTAATATGAATAACTATGTCCAGATTTAGATTTTGTAAATTATTGATTGAAAAGGACCATGTTTAAGCCTTTATAACCTATGAAATTTTTCTTAGCCTTTCCCAAATTAATATTTTTGGACTTTAGTTGCTCATTTTCAGGAATTATAGTAGTGCACTTAGACTTAAACTTTCTTTGTTCAGAAGACAACTCACATCAAAGCTCATTTATCCTAGCAACTAATGATTCGTTTTCACTTGATTTTTTAGTTAGTTGCTTAAATAAATCAGAATTCATGTCTCTATACATAGAATATTGTACGCATTCAACAAAGGTATTTTCACTTGTATTATTAGATGTATTTAATTCTAAAGAAATTTTTTAATTTTATCACCCGATAATTTATTATCCTTCTTTAAACTAGAGCTAACCTTTTTAACAACTTTATATTTTTAATAAGTATTTAACATTGACCCAAAGTTTTATCATATTTAGACTATAAATCATTGTATGTAGGGCATATCTCACTATTGGAGTTGTCGTGTTTGTATTCATCCGAATTGCTATGTTTAGCTATTAGACAATAATGTGCTATTTTGTCATTATTGCTCAGGCTATTCTCTGACTCATCCCATATAGTCACTTTGAAACTTTTGCCTTTTTCTTTATAGTTCTTTTTGTTTAGCAAAGAATTCTTTCTTAAGTGACTGAGTTTCCTGCATCGAAAATAAGTTGGTTCAGTATCAGAATCACTAGAATTATATTTATTTACCTTACTTGTGTAGTAATCACTTTTCTCTTGCAAGAATTTCTGACCATCTTTTCATTTGAGGAAGATTTTGAAGCCTTTAACAATTTGATCTACATTATTATCTTTCTCACTCTTTGAACTCAAGCTCACACCCCTATTTGTCTTGGCCTTTGATTTTTCTCTTTCCACTTTCAAAGCTAGCGACTTATTCTTGTAGTTATTTTCTAAATTGTTTTCTCTTTCTTTCAAACACACTTCATATGTAAGAAGATTCCCTACAAGATTCTCAAGAGTTAGTTTAGAAAGGTTTTACAATTCTTCAATAGTCATTACCTTTGGTTTCCAATCCCTAAAAAGAGAATAATTTTTTTCACAAGCTTTTTGTTATCATATTCTTTTTTTAAAGCCTTTGACTTGTTCATAATGTATGTGAATTAGGAAAACATGTGATGAATATTCTTTGAGGCCCTCATCTTAAATTTTTTATTCTTTCTCATAAGCATTGTAAGTTTCACCTCTTTTACCTGTAAAGTTCCTTCATGTATAACTTCTAAAGTATTCAAGATTTCCTATGCAGTAAAACAATCAGACACTCGGTTAATTTTTTTAGCAGTTAAAAAAATAATAAAGAGCATTCATTGCTTTTGCATTCAAAGAATAAAGCTTTCACAATGGGTCCACTTATCTCTAGGTGTGACCACGGTGGCCACACTATTAGCGGTAGTGGCTTCATTATAGCAGTTCTCAACAATATTTCAAACTTCAAATTTAGTGGACAACAAAAAGGCTTTCGTGTGCGCTTTTCAATATGTATAGTTTGACTCATCGAAAAGTGGGGATCGATCAATAGCATGTCCCTTAGGGAAATATACATCGATCAAACTAGACGTCACTACCCTAGGTTTTGAATCCTAAAGATGGGCAATGAGTCTGATATCACTTGTTGGATTTGAGATGCAAGCCTAGAGGAGGAATGAATATGATTGTTTACTAACTTTCGCCTAAACATAGAGTATGCAGAGGAATAAAATGAATAATAAGAAAAATAGTAAGCAATGCAATAATCATAGGAATAATTACAAGCTAAACACACGAGACAGAAGAGTAGATGTAGGATGAGTGGATATAGGAATGTTTATCCGAATCACTATAAAATATCATGTATTCTGATTGTGATTATTCTTGTGATTTTCATTCCTTATTGTTTTGTTTATTATCTGCTTTATTCCTCTACATATTTTGTGTTTAGGTGAAAAACAAAAGACAATCCTATTCATTCCCCTCTAGGCTTGCATCTCGGATCCAACGTAAACCTCCTATTAGAAGTTCCTCTTTGTTCGTAATAATCGCAATAGTTAGTGTTATGGTGTTCCCAATGACCTAAGTGTGACCCTTTGTTAGCAATAGACACTACAAGAAATACTATATTTAACGACCAAAATTAGTAAAGGGATTAGTTGTCCGTCGTTAATGTGCATATAATAACGACGGGTTTTTAAAGCCTTCGTCAAGTGATTACAAATATTATAGGAATGATGTGAGATGGGTAACGGTTTTCTAGTCCCTTCATTAATTTGTTCCTAATACCGTCGTTATTGGGTCTTATTAAGGACGAAGGGGTCCATTACCTTCATTAATCTTAAGTTACTAATGATAATAGGAATAGTAATATTAATTAATATAAATAACCGAACCCAAATCATATTCTAACAGCAACAATTTATATGTATTTAACTAAACCCTAATTTAATTTTCATAACTACTGTTTATATCACGTTTTATTAAACCTTATCATCATCTTCAAAATTCACCGCCGCCCTGTGCCAACGCCGCCAACCCCAGCGCCGCCTCTAGCTCACGCCCAGCCCCCGCCTGCTGACCCTTTCTCCGCCACTGCCGACCCGCGCCGCCACTGCCATCCCGTTGCCGCTCAGGGAGAGTCCCATCAACGTCGTCACCGGAGTTGGAGATCGTCGCCTCGCCGCTCGGGCGCCCGCAAGCAAGTCGTCGCCGCCCAAACTCGTTGCGCCCGTCGTTGCGTTGGCCCAGCACCGCTAATACGACCGCGCCGCTCAGGAGAGTCCCATCAACGTCGTCCCGCGTTGGAGATCGTCGTCTCGCCGCTCCACCGCCCCAGCAACCTCGTCGCCCGCCCAACCTCGTCGCCCCGTCGTCGGCGTCGGCCCAGCACCGCTCCGCCGCCCCAGCACCTCGCCGCTATCCGCCGCCCTAGCAACCAACGTCGTCGGCGTCGGCCCCAACAACTTCATGTATTTGTGATGATTTAATCGAAGGATAACCACTTGCTCGTCAATGGATTGTGAACAGTTTAGTTTTTGGCGAAGATTGTTTTGGTTTTTTCTTTTTTCTGTCCTTTGATACTTAAATCTCATTACTGCAGCAGCTTTTTGAACATGGGCAAGTCCAGCAAGAAATCTGATACTAAGGTAGTGATAATATGTATAATATCTTAATATTTATGTTCAATTTGTTGGCTTTTTCTTCATATTTTTGGATTTTGTTAATGATTTTGGATTTGTTGCAAATTTTGTAGGTTGCTGTGGCTACTCCTGTCACAGATGTGAAGGCATCTAAAAAGGGTATGATTTTGTTCCTTAGTTGCTTATGGTTAGTTGGTATTAGTGATAACTGTTTATTTAAAATTTTACTTATAAAAAGATGATTTCTTTATTGTAACAGGGGCTAAGAGGGATGCAGGGGATGCTTTGGAGAAATTGGTGAGCGTCAAGAAGCAGAGGAAGGAAGTAGAGGTTAAGAAGAAGGTCCCTCCACCAAAGAAAGAAGAGTCCAGTTCTTCAGAAGAAGAAGATTCTTCGTCCGAGGATGAGGTAGCTAATTGCATTAGTTTACATATTGTTGCTTCATTGAGTATACAAGGCTGGAAATTGGTTGAAGTTTTAGCCTAGCTAATGTCTTTTGTGGTTCATTTACTTATAGGTTAGGTAAATTTCAAATTGCAACATAAGAAAAATCTATTGCCTCTACTTTTCTATTTGTTATTTCAAAAAGTTTTATGTGTTGAAGTTTAAGTAATCCTAGTGTAAGCCAAAGTTTGAATCGAGATGAATTTTGTAGACGTTCGACTCATCTTTTTCATAGCTCTCGTACAAGGTTGGATGAGAGGAAGAGAGAGAGAGAAGAGAGAAGAGAGGATTCACTGGACTCGAGGATGATAGAATAGGAGTGGAAAGGATCAGGGTAAGGTAGTGGGATGAGAGGTTTCAGTGGTTGTGATTATAGAAGATGTTGCTGCAGTCGTCGATTAAGTTATGGTTGACAATTTAGTACTTTCTAAACTAAATAAATCAACTTTATTAATTATAATCAGTTAAGGCCCACCTCTCATACGATCTCGACTATCGTATTCTTTGTTTTCATTTCATGCCACCTTATTTAGTACTTGTATGATGCTGTCACTACAAAGAAACCTCTCTAAGGAAGTCCATATCAAGTGATAGCTATTTCAAGAGTGATACTGAAGAAGATGCAAGACTTGGTTCTCTTGAGACTCCCCAGAATCACAATGTCCCTGTTGAATATCATTTATAGAGATATATTGGTTTCTTTTATATGTGCGGAAGATCAGCTCGAAAAAGAAAGCACAATGTTTAAAAAGAAGGTCGAATTAAGAGATACAATGACAATGAAAACAATGGTAGTAGGTTTATGTACTGCATATTTTTTTTCTCTATGGCTCCAGACTTGTGAGGCCTTTGAAACTTTAGTCCTTACTGGCACTGATAGTTCTCGTTTTGTATGATGTTAAATTTGTTGCTTTTAGAATGTTGTTACTAGAGTCTGTCAAGTGTATACACTTTAAAGGGTTTTAATCTTCAGTTTCTACTGGTATACAGAAACCAGCTGTTTCCAAGAAGGTACCTGCTGCAGCAGTGAAGAAGTCAGACTCTAGTGACGAGTCTTCTGAGTCTGAGAGTGATAGTTCTGAGGATGACAAGGTAAGAGGAACAGGGGATCTTTGTTCTTTAAAGTGCTTGTATTTTATCCAATGTGAAAATGGAGTATATGTTGTTTAACCAAGTTGATGCATATTTCTTTTTTTCTCTAGGGAAGTGTTGTTTCTGATTAGGAACCAGAGTCGTACATTATTTATTTGGGAAGTCAAGTTGACGAATACATCACTTTGTAATCCTCAGTATTCTGTTTTAGATGTTTTCCATGAGTTATCTCTTTTTCTTTCCCTTTCCCTTAGCTATTTCTAAGAACAAGAATTGCTTATACAACTGTAGGCATATAAAATTGCTTATAGGTCCCTTGACACGGTTCAAGACGAACTAATGAACCATCGGGCGATGTATCTAAGCACAAACGTCACCGAAGCCAAGTGACACGCAACGAAGCGGATTAACAAGGCTACGAAGCTGACGAACCGCACGTGAACGACGGAATGAATCCACTCGCGTACGGGATCAAACCAACGGTCCAGAGAGTCAACGAGTCATCCAACCATATAACGGATTCGAACTCAGACACCAAAGCCGATTTACTGCCTAATCGGGATCCAGACTTCCAAATCAGGAATCAAGTCAACGAATCGATTTCAGACCAATCAACCGCATAACCGAATCACGGACGAAGCGGATACAAGGACCAAAACAACCGAACGACGGACGCAAAGCCCGGAGTGGCTCGGCCAAGGCCGAGCCACCCTGGGGTGGCTCGGCCAAGGGTGGCTCGGTGGCCGAGCCACCTTGGGGTGGCTCGGCCATGAGCCGAGCCACCCCAAGGTGGCTAGGCACAGTGTCGGCCACCCCGAGGTGGCCGACAGTGGCCCGAGGTGGCCGACAGTGGCCAGAGGTGGCCGACAATTCCCTTTTTGCAGCCACTGTCCTGAGAGCCTATAAATAGGCCTAGAGATGTTCATTTTCAGAGGTCGAACTTTCAAGAGCCGAAACTCTGCCGGATTGAAGAGTGAACTCGGAGCTTGAAGACCAGAAGACTTGCACCATTCAGATCTGATCCTCGGCGACCATCCACGTCAGAAAAGGCAGGATCTCGAGAGGAAGAAAGAACAGATCTGAGATCTACACGAGACTACACTCCAGATCTAAGCTTGGTCTTAGATCTCGAGATCCGAGCGATTATTCCCTTGGTGGATTAATCCCTCCCGGCTATTATTCCCTTCGTGGAATAATACCCGCATACTCGTGTAGATCCGACCGGATCTAGATCGCGCGGTGGTCCACGGATTAACCCCGGCGCAGGCAAAGAACCCACCAAAGCGAGCGACCGCAAAACAGGAGCTCGTGATTTGTTCACAGAGGAGAGTTGTAATTTTTCTTTATTTTCTTTGATTTAGTTGTAACCGGATCTATAAAAGACCGGATCTTTGTAATCCAAGATGACAATTATCTCAATGAAAAAGAAAACAGTTTTCCACGCGAACAATCTGGCGACCACAGTGGGAGCCGACGATCTCGCCAACGAGATCGATGCGTCGCAGCCGCGGATTGCAATCCCGGTCGTGGAGGAGGTCGAGTACGAGTTCGACCAAGCCAAGTTCGAGGAGTACGTGTCCTCGTCCGGATCTACCTCCCCCCGCAAGTCCAAGAAGTTCTCCTCCGGGAGAAAAGCTCGTTGGTTTGAAGCTGCTCGGGAAGCCCACGAAGCTCTCAACCCAACTGACGCCGAAGTTGCGTCAGATGAAATTCCACCGACCTCCAACCAGGTCAACTCTACTCCCGCCAACGCCTCCACTATTCAGGGCGTTGTGACTCTCTCAAAGAGAGCCCGCCAGAGGCGTCGTCAATGCCTTGCGCGGCAACTCGCTAAGGCGATGGAGTCTACGGACGGATTCTGCTACAACGCGGATCTGAAGAATGGAAGAGGCAAACAGCCTCAACCGCCAATGAACGGCGACTCTTACAAGCCGCCAAAGAACGAATGGGTCCGCGTCAAACGGAACCGTTCGACACTTGAAGAGCGTATTCGCAAGCACCGCGCGATGTCAGCGCAGGTACGGGCTCAAGCTCAAGAAGTCCGCGGGCACAAGTCCAGGAAGCCCGTAGAAGACTGCAAAAGGAGGAGGCGAAGAAGCCACCACCAACTCGCCAAGTCTGGAAGCCTAAGTCTGAAGTGGCGACTCAGGCCAAAAAGCAACCAGTGCAGCCTTCTAAGGAAGGTCAAACTCCGGCGAGTCAACCAAAGTCGCCGTTAATCCCAATAACTTCTCCGGGAGATCATGCAGAGTCATCTTGCAAGAAGAAATCAATTTTGGAGCGCCTCGGTCCAGTTCCTGACGTGAGAGGCAAAGCTCCAATTCATGAGCGTTTGGGCCCGATGAAGAAGCCCAGAACGATGACAAAGAGCTCAAGGCAACTGCGTGCACCAATTTGCGCATCGAAGTCCAAGAGCACACTGAAGACTCGCGCCCACAAAGGCACGTTTCGAGGCGTGTAACTTTTGAAAGCCCAAAGAAGGCGATCCAACCTCAGATGGAAACATTATCATCTGATAGTGATAGTGTTATACCTGAGAAGTCGTGCCCGCACACGATAGGTTACTCCGACTGTCAAAATGACGAGTTGTACTATCGTGCTGGGGGTACGAATAGAACCAGGAAGAGGAGTCCACGAGAACAGGAAACTCAACGCCCCTGTTCCAAACTCATTCGGGCGGTATTGTCTGAATGCAACTGCATCAAGGCGGTCCCCGAAAGAGTTTCAGTTTTCGAAAGACTCAGTGCGGAGACACCAAAACCCAGGCCTAGGCGTTTTCAACAAAGAAGAAGAATGATTGAAGACGGAGAATTTCCGAGGGTCACCACCGACATGACTAGCAAGGGGACGTCGGCACAGGATGATTTCGAGTCGATTCTGAGAGCCTCCCGGCCTAGAACCCGTCTGCAGTCCGGAACC